GTAGACCGTAACTTAACCGTACGTTAACCGTACGTAACGTAACTAACTAACGTAACTAACGTAACGTAATACTACGTACTTACTACTAACTACTAACTACTACTAATATATATATATATATATATATATATATATATATATATATATATATATATATATATATATATATATATATATATATATATATATATATATATATATATATATATATGTATATATATATATGTATATATAGAAAGTTGCATTTTCTATGAATCTGATTTTCATTCCTGTGCGCGGTTCCATAGTTCCACATGCGCACACATACCGGGGACGAGGTGAGGGTCTCCTGGGGAGAGGAGGTGGCATCTGGTTTAATATAGAAGTCCTTAACTTCGAATCTGTTGCGCCTATAGTACGTAGCGTTGGTCTTTTTGCTGCTAATCCTATCTTGTGCCTGTTGTGTGCGTGGGGGTAGGCATCAGTGAATAGTGGTATCAGTGCCACCTGCTGCAGATTGATATGCATTTGCTCTCGAAAATGAGTTGTGTATGGATTATAATATAAATATCCCATCTATAGTTCCGTGTTAAGATCTCAGACTTTAAATCAATCACGGCTGTGGTGCAGAGCGATTATCGCCGACTCTACTCTGCACAGCCACCTAAGGGGTATCCTCCACGCCAAAAAAACACATCTGTGGGTATGAATCTAAGGCCGTGTGTTATGTGTCTATACTCTTATGTGCATGCGTGAATATGTAAGTGTGGATGAAATAGTGAGGTGTATGTAAGTAGCTGCACATTGAATGTGTATAATTTAGTCGGCGTATTCCCTGCCAATTGTAATATTTGTTGGCTGTTTCTATTCTTGTACTATCGGTGAAGCGTGTGTGTATGTGTGCTTCAGTGAACATTGCGATTCATGATTGTACGTAGCCCGACCTTTATGCGATACATCAAATAGACCCGCCAAACCCATGATACCACATCGAGGGGAGACTCGGATAGAGTCAACCCCTTAGCAACCCACCAGACACATGTTATCTGTCCTGTTTGAGTCCCACAGATGTATATATTCGAATACTGATTGTTGCGTGGCAGCTAACCCCCCATCACGTCAGCTTGTGAAATGAATACACCTTACACGGAAGCAGCAAGACTTTGACTACACCGTAGACATGCGATAAATACGACAGCTTCAACGGCTATGAAATCTCAACATCATGCTCCGTACATGACGCTACACCGTTGACACGTACAGATATGCAGCATAACATGGAGGTACATCGCACACGTGGTACCACATACCGGCTGTTGCTTCGCTAGCGCCCCAATCTCGTCTGCTTGTGATGAGTATATATGGAAACGTCCCGCAGACGCCTTGGGAAACCCCGAGGGATGTGCACCTGTGATCGCATTCGCACCCCCAGGCACGTTGGTAACTGCGTTGCTGTCGTTTGATATGGCGCCGGCGCCTGTACTTCCCCCGGTTACTATGACAGGTTCCGAGACCGCCGCCAGATCGGTTTGTTTGGTTATCTACGAAAGGATTGAGATGTTTTCACTGAGAATGGTGATATAGCTAAACAGGCGAGGAGTGCGTATAGAGATGCGCAATGAAAGTTATTGGTAGCGCTACTTATGGGAAACAAATGCAGCCTGACGTTAACTCAGCAAAAGTACACATTCCGATGAGAATCGTCGAGTACGCACTTGTGCCTGTACACTCAGGAGCAACAGTTAATATGCCCGGTTCAAAGGCCTTCGCAGGAAAAGTAGTATGGTTGAATGTAGGACGATTTTTTGCGTATAGATTCATATAGGGCGTAAAGTGTGTATATGTGGTAGTCCAGGTACACAACTGGCTACAGTCTGCAAACGACCTATCTGTCTTGGCATACATTTGCAAAAGTGCAGATTCTCTATACATCCTCATGAAACGAACTTGATTCATCCTTACATAACGAAAGCTTGCAACCAAAGCTCGCGTCTTACTTTAAAGTTCAAGAACATCGGAGTTAGATGCATTGCAACACAGTGAGAACAAATACTTATGTCCCATCAGCTAAAAGAATATAGTCATGATTCAAATTAGCTGAAATATACAGTAACTAAACAGCTGTAATAAAAGGAGAGGATTATACAATGGATGCAATATATTGGCATCTATGAAGACGTATAAAGAACGAATACCTGATACGAATCGAAACAAAGGCATTAAACACTGAGTAGTAATAAGGACTACATAATTTAACAGGTACACGTGTATCAAAAAACATTTGAACCGACAAACTGCAGACACCTGACGTAGTCGTTGTAGTCGATCGCTGTAGTCGATGACCGTAGGCTATGATAATAGTACGAGAGAACGGCCGATTTTAATAGTAGTGAAGTACTAAAAACAGACCAATAAGAAGACATACCTACACAGTAAAACTACATCAGTCATACGCCAAAACTTGTCACACGACAGACTATGATCTGGCATGTGTGATGAGATATTATATAACGAATAAGAACATACACCGCACCCATTTGTGCTATAATGACCATGCCAAAATAGTCATACGTCAATCTATAAACGGATATAAATATAAGCGCACATACATGTACATATAAATACATACATACATAGATACATACATACGTACATACATACATACATACATACATACATTCATACATACATACATAGATACATCCATACATACATACATACATTCTTACATAGATACATAGATACATAGATACAAACATACATAGATACATACATGCATACATACATACATACAAACATACATATATA